AGCTGCAGCAGGGCCGCCAGCTGCTCCCGGCTGCCGACGATGGTGGCCACGTCCTGGAGAGGGGAGGCAGGCCGGGGGAACCTGGTCACTGAAAGAGCGGCCAACAGGGCAGCGGTCAGGGAAGACATCTATCCCACCTCTCCCTGGCGCAGAGCGCAAGGAAACGGGGAGAGCAGAGCATGGCTCTGCAGAGCTCTCCGAGCGCAGTCTCAAAGCAGACAGCGTGTATGTGCTAAACCATCCAGAAGTTCAGATCATAAAATTTTGATAGAATGACTTTATTTTTTCAATTCCCTCGGGTCCTTCAGGTAGCCCGTCTGTGGTGACCCAGTACAGAGGGGCACGACGCCTCATTTTTTTAAGCTAACCAGGGCAGACTCTGAGGACAGCTTGACACATGGAGTAGCTGGCAAGTCTGGGTCGCTGCTCGTGCCAGTGCCCCACCCACGCAGGGGACACCCCAACAGCACAGCCCAGCCTTCCTCCAGAGGGAGCTGGAATGTCCTCTCTTATGGGGCGGTTCATCCGACACCAGACGCAGCGGTTTCGTGCCTCACTCCTGCTCTAGTGCCGAAGAAGCAGAAAGGAAAATGCGGCAAGGCTCTCTGTACCTTCGATGGGCGTCACGTCCCCTTGCAGCTTGGCTTTACTGGTGAACGGGGCGTTCTCTAGCACCACCGCAAACAAGGCCGGGATGAGGGACTGCAGCGCCGACAGGAACACGTGCAGCTTGTGCTCATCCAGGCCGTGCTCTCCTTCCTACAAGCCAGAAGGGAAGACTCTCAGTTGGGTTGCACTGCCCCACACGCTCAGACCTGCCACGCCACCAGAGAGGTCCCAATTCGCCCGAACCCCGGGCAAAGGCAGGAGGTCGGTGAGGACAGAGAGCGATTCAGCACCCTGTGTGATCTGCGACTGGGCACAAAACCCAGCCGGCGAGCTCTGAATGAGCGGCAGGCCAGCTCCCGTGGATGACACGCACTGGGAGCTGAAGCAAAATCTAGAGGGCTGGAAGATGCCGTGCGCCGGTGTGCATGCTGGGAAGAGCCCTCTTGCGCCGTCCTACCCTGAGCAGCCTCTCGATCCGGCCAAGCAGCGTGGGGATGAGCTGCGACTGCAGGTGGCCCAGCTCCGTCGTCCAGGCGGCGAAGGCCGGGATGAAGACCTGGTGAACGGCGTTGACCACGCGCTCCGAGGGGTCTCCCAGGGCCAGCAGCATCAGCTCGAAGCCCTGCCGGGAGGACACACGCAGAGGTTCAGCACTGCGCTCAGCAGGAGCTCGGGGGAGAAGTCACTCTACAGTGGCCCTCAGTCTTGTAGATCTGGAGGCTTCCCTCCAAATATGGCCTTATTATAGCATCTCAGGGAAACACTACATTCCAGAAAGAGAAGTTACAGTGTTTTGATGCCAATTTCAAGAGAATTACCAATAGGTCACAGTTATAAGAAACTCGGTTTTAAGAGCTAGTGTTGATGTACCTGGGAGTACTTGTCTGGGTCATCAATATAGCCCATGATGATGCCCAGGCTCTTGACCACAGCCTCTCGGACCATGTCCGCCTTGTCTTCCGTCAGCATCTGCTGCAGCATTGACAGCACCAGCGAGCTGCGAATCTCCTTCTGAAAAAGGGGCAGGACATCAGGAACGCCGCTCGCCGCAGGGGTGCAACCAGCCGGGGACGAAGCAACTGGCAACGCCGGACTGGAAACCGAGAACGGGAGACGCCTACAACGCGGAGGGCTGCTGGAGTCTGGAACAAGACACCCAGCCACGCTGTGGCTACCCTGGCGGCCTTCAGGAATCAGCCTTTCAGGACGCTACGGACTGCCAGTCAAACCAGAGGGGCCAAAAGGCCTGGTCTCGTGTCTAACCTTTCTCGTGTTCTTGAAAACACCCGCTATGTCAGCAACACATGGTGAGAAAGGAGACGAGCTATCACTGCATAAATTCACAGGTATGACTATGGTCAAAATATTAGCCACAGCGCCTGGTCGCCGCAGGCCGGCAGCAGACGGGTTCTCTTCACCTTGCTCTTCCTGGAACGATCCTCAGCCCCCCCCCCATCTGCCGAGAACCAGTGAAACGGGGGGAGCGGGCGCCCCATGACCCCACCTGCCGCTTCGCTCGCCAAGGCCTCAGGCTGGGGCATTCGCGACGGGGGGCTGCTGGGGTTCCCAAACCCAGCCGGACACGAGTCCTACCCTGCCCAACCTGGCATGTTTTAGCGCGAGACTGGCGGCAACTGGTCACGGACACAACACACACGGCGAGCGACACAGCTAAGGACAGGCGGCGTCCCAAGAACAGGAAAGAGCTCTGGGCTCCCAGGACGCCTCGCCTTCGCTCAGCAGGAGTGGGGTTTAAATGAGAGAAAAGCCCACGAGCTGAGCAGGATTTTGCTCTGTCATGAGCAGATTCTCTTACGGGCAAATATGGCGCCAGGGCTCCACAGGACTCGGCCACCAGGAGCCTCCTCTCCGGATACTTGTGGTTGATCTGAAAAGAGTGGAAGAAACAAGCGAGTTATTTGTGTAACATCCTACTGCAAAGTGAAATGACTCCAGGGATTCACTGTCCTAGACAATTTTGGCACAACACAGAAAAAACTGATGTGAGAGTTTATTTCCAAATGTCACTTCCAAATTACGTTATGTGTGGATAAGTATTTTGAACAAGCAAAACTGGCTTCTTATGTGCTAGAGGGTCCAGAATAATTTGCAACAGAACACTTTTGAAGGTGAATTGAAAAATGCACAGTCTAGCAGGTAGTTATTGTTCCTAGCAAGAAATATATTTCCACAGGAACTAAAACTTGATAAAAAACACCTGGCACACCTACATTTGGGTAGGTGTTTAACCAGGTGGTCAAAGCAATTCTTATGCTGCTACAGGGATTTTAATTCATATTATGTTCTGGTGTGTAGAAATAACGTGTTTAAAAAACCAACAAAGGGAAAATTAACAAACTAAAAAACTAAACTTTTCTCTAAATCAAACATCACGTTTAATATTAACCACTAAGTCTTGCGACCAGCTCACTTTCTACAAAGTTTAGAGTCTGAACAGAAGGTTTCTTTGTAAGGAAAAGGGGAAACACAAAGCCATAACATTCCTCTTTTTAATATCTTTATTTTTAAATCAATAGTTTTATCACTGGATAATAGGTTGTTTAATACGATTACTGTATCGATTGAATAAAAAGGACACCTTCACATTTTATATTAATTCTCTACCTTGAACAAAGCATCCTGACTCCTGGATCACAGCCAGCATGAGATCTGGTCTCAATTGCCAACTCCCTGCTCCCCCTTTCACTCAGAAAACAGGATAAACCGCTTAACCTCTGTGTGGTCTTGAACATCATTAGCCCACGAGCTCCAAGCTGTAGCTTCTTACTTGGACACACACAACTCCATTTTCCATTTTCCACCGGACTGGAAGGAAGGTGTTGGACTGTGGCCCATGACTACTGTAATTGTGTCCCACTGATCTGAGCGACTCCTCATGTTCCCAGTTGGGTAAATCTGAGCCTTTTCAAACATTTACGCACAGACATTATTTGGTGGTAGAGGTGCCTGTACTGTGCACACATCTGAAAACGCACGACACCTTCCTCGCGCGTCACTATGTCTTAAGGGAGGAACCCACACAGATAAGGGGAGAACATCTAGACTAGGGGACCCCTCCCCTCCCTGTCCTGAACAGACCCCCAGCACACTGCAGCTGCGAGGACGCAGAGCGACGCGCCACCTCGGGGTGCGCCACGGAACACGAACACAGCTTCCGAGAGCTCCACGGGCTGGAGCACCCAGAGGCCCCCAGGCGTCGCGGCGCAGCAGGCGGGCCGGAGAAACGGTCTTACTTGCTCCCAGCACTGCGGGAGGAGCTCCGCTTCCACCCGCGTGGGACCCACGTGCCGGGCGAACGCCACGCAGCCGGTGAGGATCATCTGCCTGAGGACAGAGCGGGAGCCGGAGTCAGAGAGATGGGCACAGTGCCCCCCAGACCACACAGCAGAACACCGCTCGGCAGCGGTCTCGCTTGAGAACGTCTGGGAAGGCTATCAACCGTGATCCTGGTGGCACTGCGCAGAGCAAAGTCGCAGCGGTCATGATTAATGGAACAAGCAAAAGTTTATTAAACACCGAAAAGAAAAGGAAAAAAAAGAAGAGACGTTTTGGCTGTGGACCCTTCTTTGGGTGTTAATTCATTATCATGTGAATACCGGAAAACGGGAGAGTCACGTTTATTCATGCCACTAAGCATTCCTTGAAATGAAATTCAAAAACCGATATTCCCTGGGGAACAGAAGGAGGTGGCGCTTGTAAAACACTCGATAGCAGCAGCAGTATGGAACAGCACAGGGGCGGACACTCTTCCCGTCTGTGCTGAGCCGGGGGGGAGGGAGGCACGCGTTCACGCCCGCGGAGGGCAACAGTTCAGACCAGCCAGTCTACACAGGGAGCCGCCTGTGCCTACAGCACACATGCAGACTCCATAAAGACACCCACCCAGCGCCAGAATCGAACCCGGCACCCTGCAGCGGAGGAGCCCCCCCCCACACACACACACCCCGCTGTCCCCTTGCCTCCTCAAGTCAAAATTCAGTCCCGCGCACGAACACCGGAGCAACGGACTCTCCGGAGTCAGCGCTTGCAACCAAACCGGCACGGTCTCCGTGCAGCCCGCCTGACAGCCCGCTTCCAGCCGGGTGTGCCCCTGCACGGCCAGCTCCCTCACCTCTGCTCATCGTCCGGTCTCTTGATGAGGTTGAAGAGGATGTGCAGCAGCTGATCTCTCTCCTTGGACTCGGGGTGCAGGCAGGCCGTGCACAGGATGAGGGGGATCAGCTCCTGCGGATGGGAAGTGCCGTGAGTGCACAAGGCAGAGCACTGGAGGGAAAGTAACACTCAGAGCCGGCTCTGCGGGGAATGCTGGGAGTGGAGAAGGGGAGCATCATGGGACTCAGAGCAGGAGGGGAGGAAGAACAACCACCAGCTGCTTTTATCTGTTTATTAAGCACATACAACATAAAAGGGGTAGACGCATGATTTCACACCGAAGACAATCGTCATAGCTAGGGAGAAACAGCGGAACACGCATCATGAACCAGCACCTCTCGAAAACATCTGGGAAAGTGTGGGAAGCAGGGGCTCGACACCCTCCCAGTGAAGGTAAGTGATTCCAAGCACGCTGATCGGAATTCACTCATTTCACGACAAAGAGCGGGTAAGATTTTCAAGGGACGCATGTTGTGTCAGTAAGCTAAGCCACTGGTCATGACGTTGTGTTGTTCCATATTACGGTCTTTGCTACGAGACTTTCTGGGTTTTATCAGCTGGGTGGACAGATGAGAGATTGCCAATTAAGCACCAAGATCTGGACCCACAATTACCAAGCCAGTGGTCAGAGCCAAATCATAAATATAAGGCTCAGCAGTATTTCCAGAACATTCGTTGCTGGTAACGTCAGTTTCTGACGCCTCCACAATACATTAGCTCTTTCCTTTGCAGTGCACCTTGCACCCTACCTATTATATTTGATACTGTTCCGTTTTATATTGAGTACATTGTGTTAAAATCTGTCCGGTACTCCCGAACCTGCCTGCTTATTCAGACAGCCCTCCCGCATGCAATACATTTTTTTCATTTTTTTTTTATCTCAAATGTTAGTGGCTCCGTTTTACAGGGGGTAGAGGCGGGGGGAAAAAAAACGCAGGAAACGTTAAAGAAGCCGTAAGAAATGTCTGTGTGAATTGCTGCGATTCGGCTGTTTAATTCTCTCTGTACGCCTGCAGCGGTACTTTCCCCCCTCTGGAGAGCGCAGTGCTTGCCCGTACAGGCTGCTCCTGCAGCACTGGGCCAGCAGCGTGCGGCCGGGTGGCGGCCGTCCTCGCGCTCCGATGGTGCTCCAGCAGCTCTGCGCCGAAGCGGAGGACGACCTCGCACGTTGGTACTTTGGAGGACGTCCGCACAAACCTCACCTCTCCCGTGCAAAGGAACACAAACACAAAAAAAGGAAGAGCTGCTGTTCGCCCAGGCCGGGCGGGGGAATCGCGTGTGCCGACGGCACAGGCAGAACCACGGGGCAAGTTTCCCAGAGCACAAAGAAGCCCAGCGGACCAGACAGGACTCCATTGTATTTAAGAGCTGGGCTGAGAACACAATGAGCATGAAAGCGGATCACGAGAGTTTCGCAATGCTTCACGGCGTGACCTAACCTGCCCACCGCCGACACAGCCCTCCTGTGGGCTTTCACCATGTCAGGAAAAACATAAAGTGTGCGCCTTTTGCCTTTTCGCAGACCTCAGCTTGCTCTCCAGTGTCAGCCATCGATACGGCGCCCCAGGAGCAGGTGGGGTTAAGGGCCTTGCTCGGGGGCCCAACGGAGTAGGATTCCTCTGCCGGCCGCAGGATACAAACCGGCAACCTTCCAGCCGCAGGCACAGATCCTGAGCCCCAGAGCCACAGAGCCACCTCTGACCTCCCGCTGCAACTCCAGCGAGAGACACTATTTGCAGATGCAAATTCCTTAACCTGCTCATACAGTACTATCAGGTGTCAGACTCTCCCAGACTCAGACATTGCTTTGCGCTTCGTGACAGAGCATAAGCATGATTCTGCCTAGAATACATTTATTATAACAACAAATAGAATTAATGATAAAGTCTGTAATAATAAAACAACTATAGGTTGGATTCTTACAGCGCACATTTAACCAAAGGAAAAACAAGTGGGGGACCTGCCGTACAAGACAAGAGCTTTTCTTTAAGCTGCTTTTATCAGAAAGAACAACTAAAGAAGAGGGTACAACACGTGTAGAAGTCTGGGACTGGCTTTCGAATTTTACATTCGGTAATCTCATCGCAAAACGGGACCAACTCGCTAATCATATGGCCAGCAGCCATATCACCCTGCAACTCACAACTGGCAGCCCCCTGACTGATCAATCTTTTCCTTAGAAACGCTGCAATCATTGCGTAACGCACAGTGGCAACGAGCAAGACAGTTGCGTTTTTCAAACTTCGCAGCAACAAATCAAGATTATAACCAGACGCAACGGAAACATGGCAAACTAAGACAGGACGGGCTCAGTATCCAGACTGCAGTCAGACTCCAGCTGTGGCGTACTCCAGGAAGATGGTAACCCGTGTCAAAACAAGGCCCAGGGAGAAGTATCAGAATGAGCCGCGCAAGAGCAAACGCAAATCATTCAGGCTGCTGACAGCTTCATGCCAGCTCTTCTTGTTTACCCACTGCAGGGAGCACTCAGGAGGAACCCACCTGCCCAGGTCTGAAAGGGCTGCATTATTCTCACCCTGACCCCTCGGGGTCAATTCAAAAACCGAAATGCCACCAAACCGCCTGGGGGAAGTGGTTTTAAACTGGAGCTCGGCACGCCACGGGTGCGCGGACAGAGGCGCTATTGTAGCCAGACCGTCCTCGCGAGGACACCTTCCAGAGGAAGCCTCCCGCCGGGCTGTTTACTTTGGCGGCTGCTCCCAGAGAGGTGTCTGGTTTCAGAGGAGCTGCGTCCGCGGGCTCCCAGCCGGCCAGGCGCGGAGGGGCGAAGGATGAGCCGGCTTGAGAGGCAGCCGTGCTGTACTCTGGCTCGGCGTGTCTAAACGGCACAAGGCCGACAGTCTGGCCTCTCCCTTCATACCGACTGTCACCGGCTACCTGTGCGAGACAGACACCGGCGCTCTGAGGAATCAGGCCGCTGTGTCTGGGCCACTGCAGAGAACTTGCTTCCCTCTGAGCTTCCGTCCAGAGCAAAGTTATCGGGGTGACGGCTGTCTTGGTATCAGTATCTGCTGGCTGGCTTGCTGGAGCCACTTGGGGTGCGGTATCTCGTTTTGGGGGTACAGCCGCCGCGCTCCCCAGGGCAAACTCCCCGAGCCCCACCTACTCCCCAGCTTCTGCCAAGCAATGCGTGGACAGGGGCCGGTCTCCGTACCCAAACCATGGCAACGCCCAACACCAGGGCATCCCTTACTGCGCCTTTCCTTTCCAACCGTTTTCCTTTTTGTACACGCAGATTAATCTTAAACCCCCCCCCCCCGCCAAAAAATGTAATTAAAAACTGTTAGGAACAAAGATTTACTCGCCTAATAGTTTCACAACAGAGGGGATTTTTAAACCTAATACACATGTAGCCAGTCAACAATATCGAATTATTAATAGCTCTGGAATATCAGCACCTCATGCAGCCGACTTCATTTGTGAGAGGGACCAAGGTGAACACCTGGGGCTAGCTGAAAAGAGGAATGGGATCTGGAAAGATATGAACAAAGACGTCTAATTCCATAAGTCATAGACTATTTCAATTTCAGTTTCTTCATGGAGTGTTCCTCACGCCCAGAAAACGCAATGATACAGACGGCTCTGTCAGCTTGCTCTAAACTGTAAAATGTCAGCTGTAACAGTTGAAATAAGGGTTAAATCATACTTTTATATGCTCATAATGGGGAAAAAATGCTTTACAACTTGAGACTTTCATAGTCCAGATAAAGAGATATGGGACACAATCTGAGAAAAGATGAGCAATTCGGTTTTATTTTCGTAACAGTTGGGAAAGGTCAAGCTTGTCGGTCGGTGTGACAGGGACATGGTCATGAGGATGGGTTGCTATTACAAGATGTCACCCTTTTCTTCCAGGTGGTCAATTATCTAACCAACATAACGAGTGCCTATTTATTTCTACAGACTTTTGGAAAAGTCTTTTGGAAAAAAAATCCCAAAAAGTAGAACAAAACACAAAGCACTCCCAGCACAGGGTCAACATCTCGACTTCCCGAAAAAATTCTCCGGTATACAGTGTTGGATTTCTCAGAAGGCGTCAGGCCTGATCTTTCAGCACAGGATTCCTCATGAATTCTTAAAGAGAACGAACGCCCTGCGAAGCTGATTATTTTTATAGTGCACGATGGGACGCAGGAACAGACATTACAAACGAGAGGAGGCTCCTGGGCCATCTAGCTTGTTCGGATGTTACTGGAAGCCAGAATGCCAGCGAGAACTTTACTAGGCCACTTGTTACAACCCTCTGTAGAAAACTCCCTTCTAACCATCTAGTGACCCCAGTCTAATCTGAGCTATACATTAACCAGCTCTTAATCCAGAGAAATGCACCGCCTTGAAGGCTAACTGCCGGATTTTAATAATTAACCTTTAATGAGGAACTTGATCAAAAGTCTTCTGAAAAACTAAAGATACCTTATCACATGCTGTTCCTCTATTAATTTCCTGCTGTAGTTTACAACAGTTTAAAGACCTCAAGCCTGCAGGTCTTGCTTCACTAGTATTTTTTGAATCCATGTCAAATATCCCAAAGCCTTTTAATGGGACAGAGATGATCCTCTAGTTTAGCTCCTGTTACCATTTCCATAACTGCCTCCACTATAGAAGCGAGAGATATTGGGCTGGAATGACTCAGTTCGGGTTCACATCCTTTTTCACAAGCGAGCTCTCTGACACGAGTGTAATGTGACACTGTAGAGTTGTGCGTGACCCGTTGCTTCAGAATTCCCCATCTTTAACAGTGCAGGCTGGACACCTGGACTTTCTGCACTTCAGCGTCTCCTGCTCTAAAGCCCACTATTTCAGCACAGTAGGGGAAAAACTCTGAAGTCCGCAGAGCAGGAGAAATAGTCTGCCGTAAATTAAATGTGAAGGTGGTAAGTTGTTCTCAATAAGGTTTTCCGATTTCTTACAGAGACCCTTTGTTCCTGCAGACAACTGATCAGAAAAAACTATCTGAGCTCCACAACTTTCCCCCCTCCAAACACACACTGGCTAAAGCTCAATGTGTGCAACTTAGGAGACCACTTAAAGCACCACGGTAGTTATCAAAAGTAAACAGCTCAAAAATAATCACTACAGCAAACAGCACCCACTGTGTGCTTTTATTGCATGTAATGATCAGGAATGAGGAAGTTTCTTTCATTCAAAAAGGTTGTTTTTCTTTAAGGTCTGGAGCAATTCCAAGCTCCCATTAAAACTGTCACTTGTACCAAAAAGCAAAACAGTGTCATGCAAATTTTCAGCACTGGAGAAGGCTTTCTGTATACTGTTTTGTTCTTCTCAAGTGAGTCAAAACATCTGAGCTATCTACTCACGCCTGAAGGGTACATTCAGGGCAGGTGCAGATCTTGCTTTAGTAATGTATTAACTGGTCCTGCAGACAAACTCCATTTAGGATCTCAACTTTCAGGTTATCTTATTGATCATAATATGTTATCCAAAATCTGGCTTTAATTCTTAATTAAAATGTGTCAACTTAGCATAGAAAGACTACATTTATGAGCCGTTCAATAACTCTCCTTTATAAGAATATCCCCTATTTCCTCTATATGAAGCAAAGAAAGGCAGTTTAGGACATGGGGATGAATCTCTTGCCCAGCAGAGACTCACACACAGTTTTAAGATCTTCACCTCTACTGGAAGAAATCGTTTCTTGCCTCCTGAAGATGATATCTTCATGCCAGTCACATCCCACCGACTGTGGTGTCATTTAAAAGCAAAGAAACCAAGAAAGATCATTCAAATGACAAAGCAAATCAGTAAAATACTGACGAGTTTAGAAAAGGCTCATTTTCTCTCTTGAATCATATACCTTTATTACTAAAAGCAACTGCGATGAAGACATTCCGAAACACCAGGGAATGTTAGCTCTACAATACTCCGAGAGGGGTTTGCAAGTTTGTGGGCCATAAGAACATTAGAATACCCAAGGCCACAATTTTTTACTGTAATTTCCACAATCAAAGCCATGCTGGTTTTCTCCTCCTTGCCATAGGCAACAGCATTTCTATTCAATTACCTTATTTTCTACTAGTGCGTTAACATCCTGAGGGAAGATCACACCCAAAAAAGATAAGCTGACCTTTCCATCTTGCAGCCCGTCACAATATACAGTACAGCAAATACTAATATATCAATAAAATACTCAGAGCCACTAGTACTGGAAAATAAAAGGAGTCTTTTACATAAACTGTAATGTTCAGCTCTATCTAGTGTTGAAAAAACCACGTGAACACAAATGCGCTCCTAGGGCATCGTGCGAGTTTCAGAAATGGCTCTGCTTGCTGTGCACGGTCACCTGCGGTTATCACAACTCCTGTGTCCTCCTTGGGATTTTCAAGTGTCTTAATAAATGCCATAACCCTCACTCCTGTCTGCAAAAGCTCTTATAAACTCTGCTGAATAAATGTTTCTTCTTTCTTTAGCTCTTAATTGGAGCCATAATGCACAGTTAGATCAGAAAACAAGTGGCGGTCTTGTCACTGATCACAGGAGGAATGTTTTTTACAGCCTGGAATGTAAAGAAAGGTAAATATATCTGAGAAGAAGTAACATTTCTCAGGAAGACCTGCTAGCTAACTGAAAAAACACCAGAGTTGCTGTAAAAAGTCTTCATTTTAACAGTAATTACAATTAAATGAGCAAACAAAGTGCTTCTAAGCAAGCCTCTGCTGCTGCTGCTTTGCCAGGCCAGTGCTAACAGGTTCACGGCCCCAGTGCCTCAGGGCCACTCTTCCAGAGCTTTATTTACTCCTTTTAGCCAAATAATTACATTCCAGTGAAGACGTAGCCAAAAATACAGGTATACTGTTTGGGCTTCCATTTTTCTGACTCTTGCTAAGAATAAATAATAAAACAGTAACGCAAAGCTGTCGCTTAAGACATCTAGAAGGAATCCTTAAAGGAAGTCGTTGGTGAGCAAAGTTAACAGTGGTGAATATGCAGCAGAAAACTAGAACACAGGAGGTGACTTGTACTTGGTGTTCAGTAACTCCACTGCTATCCAGCCAAACGGTCAACTGACAATTTTAACTAAGTATTAGCCCTAGGTTATTACTCTGCATTACGTTGCCAGAATTCAGCTGTGAATTCTTTCTGATAAACTGCACATAGCACCCAGAACAGGACACATTTCCAAAAGTGCATTCCTAAATGCATTTGACTGAAATTCCAGCAAATATTCTCTGCTAAATGTCAATTAAATGTCTGACTTGTTAAATACTAAACTGCACATTCAACCAGTTTGCTCAAATCCAAAGACAATCTACATGTTAAAGGCGGACAGAGATATTAATACATTATATTTTCTTGTTATACTTAAGGTGCACTTACTTACCTGTTAGTGATTTAGTGTTTAATGTTTTAATTTGACTATGATTAGAGACTTACATAAATCTGTTATGTCTCATTTTACTGAGATTAAAGGGTTTAAAGAACAAAAATAATAGCATTTGGGCCCATGTGTGAGTGTGCATGTCAAGCAGAAGTGATCCTAATAAAAGCAGAGCGCAGCATGGTTGTTCAGAGCTTTGACTGCTCAAGAGCAAATGGGCAGCAAACTAAAGCAAAGCACCAAGCCCACTGAAAACAACACAGACAGCGACAGCATGCAGATATGTTGAACTCACCTGGCACAGATGCACAACCATTCTCTAGGAGCAGAGATGCATGCACAAAATAAGAAGGCGATTGAAAGTAACAGACTGTCACACAGTGGAAAAACGAGCACAAAGTGAAACAGAAAACTCAATGCGGGCTCCGAAGATGGCAAACGGAAGCCAAGAAGAAGAAGGCGGCCCACGCCGCTGGGGGTGGCTGGACGTTACCTCTCTCTTCGCTAGCAGCACGTTCGGGACGATGTGAGGCAGGCAGCGCCCCAGCATCAGCATGACACTCTGCTCGCTGTCGGCGATACGGGACACCTGCGCGGGAGAGAGACGGGTCGTCAGGGCCGGCGCCGGCGCTCCCACCACCAGGGGGCGCACTGGACAGGCGGTGCTGCAGCCTCCAGCCCAGCCTTGGCGCCAAAGGAGGAACGAGAGACTGACGTGTTCTACTGTCCACTTCTAGCTTCTGCCATTTTGACCACTCCGGTTTAAGCTAAGGGCCAAACTGGACAGATCTGCGTCTCCCAGTAAGTCTGGATTTAACTGGCGCGCTGAGGGGAGCAAGCGACGTCAATTTCAAGGGCTACCGCAACACTTCACACGGGCTGCTCATGAACAAAGGGCTCACTTTGAGGCTGGGATTAACGCGAGTTCATTCATACACGACAAGCTCGGTTTCTTCTCCTACACACTGAGCAAGTAGTAATAACAGTCACGCGAGATCGGTCTTACCTCCGAACCAAGACGACTGTCGGCAGACATTCGACAGAAGGATAACAGTGCTTGGTGAAATGCAGGAGACAGCTTTCTGGAATGCAAAGACAGTCTGCATCTGTTAATGCGCGCTACATAATCCCACACCTGAAACAGTCAACTCATCCTCCTCCCGAACCTGGGAGGACTGACCCCACTGAGAGAACAATTGTTATGGAAGTGAGTTAAAAACCGAACATTAACTCCCTACAAAAGTTAATACAGCAAATTCTGGTATTCTTCCACTATGTCGATGTTTATAAGGTCGAATTTCACTTTCATTGTAAACGGGATTCGCTTTTAGATACCCGCAGCTTGCTGGTAATCCGCAACTCTGTCTTTCAGTGAGGCATGACAGAGCCCTCTAGTGTCTGCTGGGTGTACAAACTCCGACTGATGGGCCATTTGGTCAGAAGCTGTCACCACGACAACATGCCATCTCAGCAAAACCAAAACATGGAAAAAATTGACTCTTTTCTTTGCATAACTTTGTATGCATGTTTTACCATTGACAACCGCAGGGTAAGGGAGGTGCTCTAATGTAGGAGCTCAGGAAATCACTGGTTGCCTTGGATCAGCAGTCTCAAGCTCCTGGCTAGTAAACAGGTGACCCTGCGTTCAATTCCAGGAGACTTCATTCAGCCAAAAGACCTGGATGGGCAACAGGACCACCTCCCACCTGTAATTATTTTATGCTCCTATGCTAAAACGTGTGAAATGTTGGTCTGTCTTTCTTAAAAAAAGACTAACCTAGTCCACAAAACATGTCTGACAAACAGCAGTGACGTTAAAGGGCTGAGCAAACCGTACCCATTTCACCAAAATCAGTAGCAGAAACCACCACAGGTAGGAAACTCGTTGGCAATCGCACCGTCTCCCCGTCAGCCTCCAACCGACCCCATCACCCCACACCCCTCCATCGTCTCCCTTCGACTCCCCATCAGCCTGCAGCTCCTGCACGCTCCCATGTCTCACCTGTTGGGCTGGTCAAACTGCACAGGCACTTTTCTCTGGGACACCTGGGCTTTTAACTTGGCGCAGCGCGGGGACTGCGTCTCAGCTCCGGGCGGGCCGGAGTCCGTATCCGTAGTGTGTGTTACTGTGGAATTCGTGACTTGGTCCTGCTGCTCAGTCCCTTTGGCGACTTCGGTGCCTCTGATGTCCAGGTACTGCCCGTTATCCAGGGAGTCCGACTGCGGCACGGCCTCCAGGTTGGGCGTTCCCGATTCCGGACCGGCCAGTGGGGAAGCAAGGCTCTTCTTCTTCAGGGCCTCGATATCACTGAACACAGGGAAAGGGGTACCCGCCCAACGCGGCAGGGAACAGGGTGCAGCGTTGAGTGTTCCCCTGAACGAGCTACATCCGTACAAAAACATCCCTCTATTTTTTTGAAAAACAGTCTCATACATTCATTCAAAATCCATTTGTGTCAAACATGCAATGTTTAACATTGTGCTGTTCTTTTCAAGAATCATCTTTAAAGGGTTATGCAATATTAAGCATTTTGATTACCTTTATTCACACATCCACGCCTTCGTTAGTACATCATGAACACAGTGATACAAACTGAGGTGGCTGAAAAGTTAAGCTTGAGCACAAATTCCTCCAGAAGAAAAATCACGGCACACTGTGTTTGATGTACGTCGAGTACAAAAGCACAGCTGCACACATGGCACGCAGAACTGAATCTTTCGAATCCCAGTCTTGAAGTCATTTAGCTCTACAGAGGTTAAAGTAAATGTTTTTGAAATGCATAAATGCTGAAAATGGCAGGAAGTTAGCTTGGCCTTCATCACACACTTACTAGCCAGGAAACGCTGCATCTGAGGACAGCTGCCTTCTTACATCATGATGTAGGTCTCTCAATGTGCTTACGGAAACTTATCAGCTTGGAGCCCCTATAATCACAGCCACATCCTACCTCTGAAGGCTTTTGATTTGCTCCGCCAAACACTGCTTCTCGCTGTTCAAGAGGCTGATCTGGTGCTCCAGCTCTTGGACCACGGAAGACTGCTGAAAAGAAAGGGCAAAAAAACACAAAAGGTAAACACAGCAGGAAGAATACCGTTCAAATTAAAGAAATATAAAAATGCGTTGCACGTCAGAAGATGAAGGTGTATGGCCATAACCACACTGCTAAGCACGAAACAAGTGATCTTCAGTGCTGCAGCTCACAGCCCGTTCGTGAGGTCGCGGGGGAGAGTGTCGTATGGCCAGGGACAGGTGGGCTGTGCGAGGCCCGTCTTCCTCCACCACCGGCCCCTCCCCCGGTGTGCTCCTCGTGAGCGGGGTCGCACCAAGGCGCAGCGGCTCGCCCGGCCCCTCGGCGGAACGACCCGCACCAACGCGCTCGAGCGGACGGGCCGCCGTACAGCCTGCGCAGAGCAGCAGCGTCCCCCGCGGGCAGGCGGGCGGGCCAGCTGACGTGCGGGGAATCAGAACAACGGAGGCAGGACCGAGGGAGGAAGGCAGGAACCTGTCTCGGCTCGACGGGCGGCGGCAGCAGCAGCTCCTCCTCGGCGGCGGACAGAGGCCGCAGGTCGCCCGGCTCCACCCCGACCGCCACATCGGCCGTGCTCTTCGGGGGCGCCAGCGACGCCCCGCAGCTGCGGTAGAGCTGCAGCAGGTCGGGCGGCTTCGGCACGTTCAGACCCACGTCGTCCCACAGCTCGAAGTCCTGCACACCGGCACGGAGGGACAGACAGCGCATCAGTGCCGCCGCCCCAGCCCCGGCTCCATGTCCCGGAGCCGTCCCTGGGGCAGGGGAGTAACTCCGGCAGCAGCACAACCCGCCAAGCGACCACGTCCCGCGAGGTCTATAAGCCGTTTCTCACGCCCGGTTCCCTCTCGGTTGAGGAACACAACTCGGACGTTTAAAAGAATTTGATGCTTCGTATGATTATAACTATTCTTTGAAAAGGTGCTCCAGGAAAATGTAAGTATTTTTACAGACTGGGTCATTGTCCGCGCAGAAATAAGATTTTTAGAAGGTAAGTGATGCACATATGGTTAAAACAGTCGCCATTGCTCACTGCCGAAAGATCACTACAGCTCTCACTGAGACTCTCCTGTCCCATGACTTTCCAAAGCCCGCTCATCGAGAAGTTCAACCTAACCCCAAAGTCCGAGAAGGCAACGAAAACACGACGGCAGCTGGTACCTGATCATCATTTTCATCTGAAAACGTGATGGACGACAGTTTGTAGTTGTTCTTTAATAAATACTCATTCACTAAAAAGTTCAGTGCTCTTTTTTCAAGAGGTCGGAGGGGTTCCTGCAAGAGAAGAGAGAAATTCAGGCACCAAGATCCAAGACTCAGACTCTAAAGAATCACATTTAAACAAAGTCATCACTGAAGAAAAAAAAAATCCCCATAATTATGCACTAACTGATCATGGAAATCAGTCTCATCCAAAAACCAACAACAACCTGGCTGGGCAGCTTCTTCCATACGGCCCTTTTTATTAACATGGGGAGACGAAGCAATATACAACACAAATATCTCCAGAACATTGCATCAATAGGTTTTGCGCACACACACACACAAAACAACTCTCACCTGAATCTCAGGGCTGGATTTTAAGTTCTTTCGTTCCTGTAAAGGAACTTCACTCTCTGCAAAAGAGAAGGAAAGCCGTTTGTACCCGGGCGCGCGACACGCACGGGGCCTGAGCGGTTCTCAGAGCAGAAAGACTGAAGTAGTGAAAGTATAATAATAGTACGCCACCTGCTGCCTGAGTCAAGTTCGCACGAAGAGCCTGAATGGTCTCCTTGGCTTTCCGTAGTTCAAACTCCAGGACTGGACAGGGAGTGGATTAAACACACACAGGCATCCAACCAAGAAAAGGGAACAAACAAATAAAAAAAGAAATAAAAAACAGGATGGCCATGAAAAAAATAACGCAAAGAAAACAATACAGTCTATCCGAAAAACCAAAGCAAAATGAAGAGAGAAATAAAACTGAAGAACATGCAAACTATGAAACTCATGAACACATGCAGCAGAGGCTACTGGAAAAGCAGACTGGTGACAGTTTTTCCATACTCGCCATTACCATCAACACTGTGAGCTGTCTGACAAGGGATCTTCGCAACAGCTACCACACAGACAAGCGAGGTTTGTTTTAATGTGTCCCGGTCGGACCGGTTGATCGTTCATTTCCTCGTTTATTCCACGTGGGTTCGATCACACTGGTAGTTAATACCCTGAAACCGGCGTTAGGGTGACACTGGGCCTCAAGTTTTGAAGATGGGTCTTTATGCCCTACAGAGGCAACACGGAGCGATATGAAAGAATATGGACTTTGCGATTTACAAAAAGAACGCATCGCCATCCTGCTAACCTGCTGCATCAGTGCCATCTCCTGACCCCCTGTGTCAGTCCTGGCTCAGACTCGCAGTGACAGGAGGTACTAATCACATCAGAAAGGTCATATAATCGGCTTTCAATCTCCGGGTAAAGAAAGATACAAATTCAGGGCGAGCTTCAGCCTAGAGATCCAGGCCGTTTCCTCGTGGAGATGCGCACGGACAGTATGTACCCCCCCCAGTCCAGCCAGAGTCGCCACTGTGCAGTCAAAACAAGGTACACACACTCCGTCTTCACTGGAGGGTAGGGGCTCGAACCCACGACCACCGCGCTGCGCTGCCTCCCTTCCGATCTGCAGTCTTCAGGGGCAGAGGCGATAGCGCAGGGGGCCGGACACGCCCCCCCCCCCAAGCAGTGGCTCAGGCCTGCACACCTGGGTCTCGCCTCAGAGCTTATCTGCAGTCTCCGTCAGACAAGAGGCAACAGCTCGCTGTCCTCCTCACGGCTGCCCCATCGCGTCATGCTGATTTTTTAAAAAGTGACGGTTCTTTCTTACTTTCCTCTGCACTACGCCAACACGAGTCTCCTGGCCAGCTAGGCGGAGTCACTGAGAAACTGGTCTTTATCGACTGTTTCAGTTTAAATAAGGAATTTACCATCTTGGAAAAAACTCATCTCCCTTCCTTCACACTCTGGACCGATGACATTGGTACATATCCCACCCACTAACAGTAACAGTACAATGTTTACTGGTCACTCCCTGAACACATTGACTTGTACTGGAACTGCACAGAAAATCACTGAAGGTGATTTGCTTTCCGTATTAACTGTGGGTATGTATATTAATTCAGTCTTCACCCAATCACAGCATTGCAGTAGGCTGATATATCTTACTCATTCTAGCTTTTTGTGCAGATTGGTTAGCAGCCATGGCCGGCTGTTATGTCCTTATCAGGTCTCATCAGCGTGGTATAATTAGTACACAGTCGTCTCGTATGTCTTGGCCGAAACTAAAACATTGTGTTTCAGCTTTACTCCTATTAACTACTTTCCAATTTTATTTAGAACCTTCCTGCTTTGTGTCTTAAAAAAAAAAAAACGGGACAATTTTAGAAAATAACAAAAACAGTATTGTACAACCACCTGCAGGAGGTAAAATAATTATCACTCACACAACTGATTTAAAGGCGGTCACGGGCTAACAGGATGGCTGAGCGAATATAAATTAGAAGCACAATTCATCGAGTTCAATTTGTCTCAGCGCTCCCTCTCTTCAGGTTAACAGAGTCATATAAATCTTGACTGCCATCCTCATTTCCTTTTAGGATGAATAATTTACTGTTCTTTTTCAGCACATTAACATCATTTTCGCAGGCGGATTTTTGCCCTTCAGTCAGCAGCTATTTGGACTGGCAAAGTGCGAAAGCAGAGCTGCCCCGAAACAAAAAACCTCACACAGTTTGCTTTTCCCTTGCCTTTGAATGGCTTAAAATTATACCCTAATGCTACGCCAAGAGAGGGGACAAAGACACTGGGAGGCTGGGAAAGGCAGAAATCCTGGCCGCTCTGAAAGCACGGCCAGAGAACAGCTCGAGAAGGAGCATGGAGAGCTTTAGCACGCGTTGCATGTGTGTGCACCCATGATCTGATCTGCAGCCAGCCAGAACACCTCTGTTCTGCTCACTATTCCAAACCCTGCGGCTGCTAGCAGTTGGCCCAGCTGGGGTGTCCACTGAGCACTTCCGCGATCTATATCTGAACTTCTTTGGGTATCGGATTTTGACATATCCCCCAAGCTCTAAAGTATGAGGGGAAAAAAAATCCCAATTTCGATTGGAAAATTAAGGATTTCCCGTGCTGCACAAAAGCAAGGCGACAGTGCCACCTTGTGTGGCAGATGAAAACCCGAAAGGAGTTTCGCTCGGGAGGGGCCTGCACTGAAACGTGCAGTGTCCTGCAAATAACGGCTCGCTGCAGATCAGGAACACACAACATGCAAACGCAACACACGGCACAAATCTGGAAAAACAAACAAACATAAAAGAAACAGTGGTGGCCAGCAGAGGGGTTGCTAGCCTGCAGGGTGTGTTTGTTGTCCAGTTTTGGGAAAAGGCACGAAGTTTAAGATTCAGAAAGCCAGAAAAACCCAAGTCAGACAGCCAGGGAAGAGAATGGAGAATGAGCAGCGTCATCTCTTTTCTACTAAAAGAGAACAGTTTGGAGTTGAAGTATGGAAGCACTGCACTGCTTTCAGCTGCTAACCTGAACTATAGGCAATTGGCTCTCTCTGCTGCATGGTTCTTAGACTAACATTCCCCCTCAATTTCTCAATGCCAGCTCCTGCCGCCATTTCCCCACACGACCCCCAAGCATTCGCATACACCAACCCCAGCCCGAGCAGCACAGCAAGACCCGTCGTTCCCGTTGTTG